CCCCGGTGTACTACGACCGCGCGCAGAATCTGAATCTGATTCGCACTATTATATATAGTAGTGTGAAAGGTAAACTACGCGGGGTGCAGCAAGCCCGTGTTGGGCGTCTCTTGGGGCAGTGGGTAGTCGGCCGTGTTAGGCCGAGAGAGAGAGGTAGAGATAGAGATGGCGTTGGCGTTGGAGAAAGCGTTGGAGAAGGAAACTTGATTAGAGAGAGACGGCGGTAGCGGTGGAGAGAGCGAAAGCAGTGCGCTAGATGCGCGAGCCTTCAACACCGCAACCAAGGCCAAAAGGGTCCCCGTATCTGCATCGGTGGTACCCATCAACATACGAAATTCCCAACACGTATCCCCGAGGATCCTCACGTCTAGAGACTGCTGCGAGTATATCTAACAGACACAAATAACTAATACCGGTATTGCTCCGAGTTCAACGTTGATAGCCAAGATGAGATTGCCCAATCCACCAACCAGCTGGCAATCTCCGCCACAAGGGGAATGCGAGGACGGCATCGACCGGCATGCTCGTCATGGATTAGGTACGAAACATATCGGGCGCCCCGGCGGTACATTGAATTGCGTTCCAAACCTGCAGGAAGGGCTGGCGTTTACGCCCTCCCGACTGCAGCTGAAAATATAATTCCGAATCAGGCAAGCGTTTAATTCTTGAACATACATAAACGTTTCGGCGTCATGGTCGACGCATGTTACTCTACTGTTAGCCTTTTGCATAACAGCGAAGACAGGCACAGCAGCAAAACTACTTCTGAAATTGCAGCTGAGAGCCATGATTATCGGCACTTGATGGCCCAAAAACCCTAATCGAATAATCCCCGGGTGCGTGAAATATTATGCACCAAGGAAAAATGGGAGACCAAGGAAAAATGGGACAACTAACTCACTCCGGGCCGCACTGGACGACAAAGAAAGATGGTTCACGCGTGAGGAGTTGGCCAGCGTCAACGAAGATAGATCCGTACAAAATGCGAGTCGGTCGGAGGGCAACAACGCTCGAGCGAGGCAGTGCCGGGTTGGTTCAGTATTTCTGGACCGAGGGGGGGGAGGTGGGGGGGTGTACTCATAGTCGTGCATACCGTAGTCGTTAGACCATTGACCTCGCATCCCTACAAAGCCGGGACGGAGCACGCCGGGTTCTCACCGGACCAGGCTCTCACATCACCAAGCGCGAAGCGCCGTGAGATATTCGGCGAGTCGCATGAAGGGTGCGCTGCATCCTGCTAAGGGTTTTCGGCATCTTGTGCTTACTTCCTTGCGTACGGATGACAGCTGCGTATGAATTAATTTACTTTCTGGGCACTTCACTTCCAG